AGAATCATCCTATTAAATACAAGTAAATTACAAGACAAGTATATACTTAAACACAAGTGAATCAAAGTCATACAAAACACCAAATCCAATTAGTACCGGAAAGAATTAAACTACACCAATTACTTCAATCAATTTCTCCTATCTGATTCATTCAAAACATTCAAACATATTATACTACTTGATATAAAGAAGATCCAGCATGTTCCTTCTAACTATTCAAACATAACCTAACTCATGCGCGTGAATGTATTCGAAAACTCAAAGCGGAATCAAAAATGCAACTGTGGTGACGCATCGAATGAAACACTAATAAAAAGAAAACGCGTGCATGATAAATATATGTATATATGTGCACAAATAAAAGCGCGTACGAGTACAATTGTTTAAACTTAGAGCAAGTTCTCTCTGACTGAAGTATGGTGGAGTTCAATATTTATTACGATGTCGCCAGAGGTCGCGGAGTTAAACTACAAAGGCAACAGGGTCAGCATTGAGCTGCGGCCAAAGGAAAACGATGCGACAGGTCGCGATAAAAAGAATATGACATAAGTTGAGGGTTGCTTATCGATATTGCTTGAAAATATGCAACGACACTGCGCGAGAAGAAAAGTCATTAACACGACGCTCGGCGCAAGAAACGTAGCGATAAGGTATCACGCGGTTTCATCGACGGGGTACCCAGCTAAGAAATCCTAGCAATCGCAAGCGAAAGCGCGCGCGCACGCGCACATATGTTACCGCATCGAATTAACTAACGTATAGACCTGAATAAAGAGCGCAGGAAAATAAATGCGTGCATAGCAAGTGGGCAACTTTAGAAGTGTATGTATTACATGCGATAACGACGCTATTAATACAATATGTTAAAAGCTTTTTGTATGCCATCGCGTTCATTGTTGCTGTATCGTAGCACGTACTACCGCGATATTTTAATATATCAATGAGTAACCTCGGAAATGAGAGATCCGTGGAAGAAAATTCGATTCATTTTAAAATATATCTATGTATTTTAGAATACTTATTTGAATTGAAAACTTGATTGCTGGTTTTAATTGTTGATTAAAATAAAAAAAATTCATATAATATTGTTTTTTTTTTGAAATGGAAAAAATAAAATAAATATTAAAATAGTGAAACTTACAATTATGATTGAAAATTCATCTTTATCTATTACATTTATTTTATAAAATCATGTGTATATTTTAATCTTTGTAAATAGATTGTAAGTATAAAATGTAACTTATAATATCTTCTATGGTTTAATATTCAAATTCTCTATTAAAATAATTATTGTTTGATTTTCGAATTTTTATTAGCTATTTTTTTAATTTAAGTTGAATATTAATAAAATATTTAAAAAAATTTTTTAAATTTATTATATTCAATATTATGTTGCATATATATTTAATAATATATTAGTAATAAAGACAAAACTCATTTTGAAGATTGCTAGAAAATTACAATAATTGATATGAAAAAATAAGTTGATTTAATATTATTTATCTCATTAACAGATAATATTTTTCAAGACAATTGATCAAAAATGATTCTCATGAATTTCAAAACTAACAATCTAATAATAACATTACCATTAGCATATATAAGTTTATATTAAATTATTATTGTTATTGTTTCAATATATATCATGAGAATAATAATTGTTCCAATACAAAAAAAGAAATATGAATTGCATTTTTTTTATTGAAATGAAATGTGTATTGAAAAATCAGATATCAAGCTATTAAATTAACTTTAATTTAAATATATTAATAGAATGTATTTAAAACACACAATTCGAATGTAACTATAATACCGTAATTAAATTCGAATAATTTGCTAATTACACGAACAATTACAACAAAATGAAAGAATTTCACTTTATGCTTATTTTATTCACGCTTTATTAAAAATTACAAGATTTTTATTTCTTTGATTAATTTCATGAATATCAAACATTTTTGCATTCAGTCTAGACGTTTATAAATAATTTCTTGTTTGCAAATGCAATGGTAAAACGCAAGTTATAACGATCTTTGATCTTATTAATTATTAATCTCGCTTGTTACGTAAGTACTATGATAATTATTCCGACTAATTGAATAATTGATTATAGATATTTAGGATTTACTGTCCGGAAGGAATAACAGATATTTCGTTCATTTATCAGCGGCTGATAACTTTGAAACCGATAAGGATTCTCTTATATACTGTGAACCTTCATGAACCGTATCCCCTTGAGAATGATATAATTTGCATAAAAATCACAAACTTTTACATTTTAACTATAACTGAACGAGTATGATAGCTAGATGATGTAAACAATCTGTCAAAACACAAATAGCAGATGTTCTAGATGCTGTAAGAACAAAAAATGAAAAGATAACATGAGAAATATATTGACAGTCAACTTCAAAAATCATTAACATAGCAGCAAAGTCTTATTATGACCCGCGCAACGAAGATACTGATTTTTTTTTTGCATTATCAGCGAACATCGAGAAACGGGTTATTTTTTTTTCTTTCTTTCTTTCTTTCTTTTTTTTTTTTTTTTTTTTTTTTTTTTTTTTTTTTTAATATAAAACGATGTCGTTGGTTGTTTTATTCGTACTTAAAACAAAAGATTCTTGTATATTGTGAAATAAAATCGATATTGTATTGCAGATTTTTTAACCAAAGAATCATACGGGTTTCTAATATTTACAATGTCAGTTAATGAAAATAAAAGTGTGAAGTAAATGAACATATTGATTTTGATTTTTATTGAAATGCTTCGTCTATTTAGTTCAATAAATATAATCTATGGAAAATTCTCTTATTTCTTATGATTCAAATTAGCTTTAAAATTTCAAACTTGTTTCCAATTCAAGTCTTTATATATCATTAATATTGATTAATAATAAAAATATAATGAAATCAAAACGTATTCAAATATTTCAACGATCATTCAATAAATAAATAAATCAAAAAAACTTCTATTTTGAGAGATATCATAAATATATATATATATAAAAAAAAAAAATATTCAATATACCAATATACCAATGCAAAACAAAATTTTCGAATTTGAAATCTTATTTTCCGTTTATATAAAATTAAATTATATTTATTTCGTATTTATATCTTCTATTCTATCTGGTAATATGTTATTTTTTTAAAATTCAATAACACTTTTTTAAAATTCTGTTAAACTTTGATGTTAAGCGCGATTAAAGTGTTTTTCAAAAGCATATTATGAATATATAATTATCTCTACTAATATTATTATATTAAAGATAATTTTTAATAATTATATCATACGATTATATTATGATCATAGACATGTGAATATACATTTTAGAATTTATAATCTGATAATTTGTAATCATTTATAATCATTTATTTATTTACATTCTAAAAATAAATTTCTCATTCCCCATATAAGAAAGACGAATAAAATATTCTAGTATTTAATTAAGATCTTTTACAATTATTTAATGAACAAAAAAATTATTTTCCAATAATTCTTATTTTAATATTTATAAAAATATATGATAAAAATATACAAAATAAACATTTCTCACAATTTAATTTCTATCTTGTAGTACAAATGTATTTTATATATATCTACATATGTACATGCGTATATAGATATAGATATATAGATATAGAAAAAAACAATATAATTGTATTAAAATCTAATCAAAATCAATTTTATATTGTTATAAGTCAATAAAAATTATAAATTTGATTTGATATCATAGATTTTTAAATATTAATTTTATTATAAACTTTCACAAATAATATGTATATGAACGAAAACCAAAAATGTCTACATTAAAAGAAATTTTTACATTTTTTAATTCTACTTTTAATTTTCTTAATTAGAAAATTGATAGTAACATGTTTAGAATTATCGATAAATTTATATTCGTATATTTATGAAAAATTAAAAGCAAAAATAAAAATATATGCACGTAATATAAGAAAATAATATAAAATATCTAAATACTTAATGTAGTTTTTAATAAATTTTTATTTAAATTCTATTTTTATTCTTTGCTCATTTGCATTACATTTTACAATTTAATTAAGAATTCAATTGTTAAAAATAATCCATCTTGAATAGCTTAAGAACGCTTGTAAATAAATTCAAAAACATTAAAAATCATAATTTTCAATATTAGAATATTTTCAATATTAATTGAATATATATTATATTTCAAAGTAACTTTCAGAAAAACTATTGAATTGTTATAATTTTTTGAAATTATAATTTATATTGTTACATACTCTTAACATTAACAATATTCGAGATATCTAATTAATGACAAATTCCTATAATTCTGTTCAAGATATAAATGCATATTTGAATAGAATAACGATGATATTTAAAGGAACAATTACAGCATTGAAAAATAAAACAGAGACCTTTTTCAATTATCTATTTTTTGCGCAAAATTGTCTAAATTAAATTGAAAATGCAACTTCATGACATATATTCGCGAGAATATATGTCATGAGAGAATTATCAACACGATCTTTGAAAAGTTTAATTGTAATAATGATAAATAATAAATGTTCATTGAGAAAAAATAACAAATAAATAAACTAAATTGATAAGCTATATAATATTAAGAAATATAAAGATAAAATTGATCTAAAAAAAAAAAAAAGAAAAAATGCACAAATATTATTGAATCAATGCACTTTTTCAATAAACTATTTCATGGCAATGGTTCGCTTCAATTATAAATAGAGTATCGATAAAAATTATTTTTAACGAATATTAAAGGAAAAAATTAATATGAAAGTTGATAAACAAGAGATTTGTTCAAAGTGTAAACTTCGATAGAGTTTTCACAGAAAAGATGCACTGTACAAAATTTTACCTATTACAGTGAACCTCTATGGCGAATTTACATAACATTTCAACTATCGAAAAATACGTAACAAGTGCACGTATGATAAATCTTGTTATAAATATAAATAAATTAGAAACAGATAAAATACACAACACTTACTAGGACTTAGCACCATTAAGAATTACAGAATTGATAATCCTTGATCGTTGGTTGCGTTTATAGCACTTTGGTGCGCACAGAACCATCTTGCTCAATTATTATCCTAAATCACCCAAAGAGTTACTTTCCATTCAGTTCCGCCGCAACATGATCAATCGTACCGCGCAAAGCCGATATATTACATACGAGTATTAGCGTCTAAATTCTGGAAACGCATTCAACAATAACACAAACACTTTGAGAAAAATCCCAATGAACATGGTAAAATGAAAAAACGTTAATATGCACGTATATATACAAATCGACTGAAATTCATCGAGAACCATGTACGCGTAACGGACCACAAAAGGTTAGGAAGAGCAAAGTTTAGAATACGAATCAAAATTCGGCAAAAATAAACGACACGAAAATTTGTTATTATATATGTAAGTATAAATGTCGTGTTAACTAAAGACATGAAAATAACAGAGAAAATCCTAAGAAAAGAATGAAGCACAATTAATACACAATAAACGCGAGGAAAAATCGCGATATTAGGTTTTATATGGCGTACATTAGGCGCACAATTCTTACTAAAAATCACACCGAATTCGCGAAATTCACGTACCGCGTCTACTAGCTCCATCTTGACTCGTGAGTTAAGCCGGACGCGCACGTTCTTTCTGTTCGTCCTCCTGGTCGTCTTCGTTGTCGTCGTCGTTATCGTCGTCGTCGTAGTCGTAATCGTCGTCGTCGTTCTGGTCAGCGTCTTCTACTCGTCTCTCACTCACGATATACTATCGCGCACACGCTGCTGTTACTCACTAACACAATAAATCCATTGTGAGAGAGAATTCCTGGCAGCACATTCCGCGTGTACGTAAGTACGGATACGAGGGTGTACGGTGGACTTCGGCGCGCGGCTCTCTCGGCTCGACTCGAGGCGATTCGAGCCGAGTCGCTTGCTCGTTCGCGGATGTCGTCACGAGGTGAGGGAAGAGGCAGAAGAAGAGAAAGACGTGGGGAGAGAGGCGGGAGAAAGGGAGCCGATACGAAAGGGGAAACTGGTGGGGCAGCACAGTGAATGTAGAAGAGAGATGGAGAAACTTTAAGAGTAAAAGAAAGAAAGAAAGAGTAAGAAAGAGAAAAATAAGAAAGGAGAAAGAGAATTAAAGAGAAAGAGAAAGAGGATTAAAAGAGTGACTGTGAGGAAAGATGAGGGAGGAGAGGTAAGTACGTGTATGGTCGTCGTATAAATAGACGAGAGACGATATAGGCATCGTATAGTAAGACTCCTAGGGCAGGTAGTGGATACTCGTGACAGCGATGAAACTACCTCACTTACTTCCACCGTGACATGGAGAGTCACTGACACATAATACAAGAAGTTCGCGCACGTGCATACACATATACTGGCACGCACACATGTTCCATACGCAACTATGTTCCCACAAGAAAGCTCACGAACGAGCGCGAGCGAGCGAGCAAACGAATAGTACGCACACAAAAGAACATTCTCGCGGAGCGACTTCACACGCGCACGCGTAGCAACACACATATGTACACTAGAGCTGTGAATGCCATCGTTGCTGTCGTGTGTTGTCGTGGTCTCGTAGACCGCCACTCCACCGTGTCACCTATGCCGTGAGTATTGACGATGAACGTAAGAGTCGACACGAATTCCCGGGAACCATCAACATCGCGCCACAACAATCCGAGCTTCTACTGCCCTTGCCACTGCTGTAATTTTCGTCGGCTCTTTCGACCAAATGCGCGTGCACTCACATCACGAAAATCCGTCACAGTAGACCAACCGACCAACCGGGAGAGATGGCGACTACAATACCACGATACGGTCATGACGTCGTCATCGGTGCATGTTCCATGATATTCTTATTTATCATAGTCGAAAAAACGCGAACCACTATACCACCAAATTATTGACATCTTTTCTTCTTCGAATATACATTTTTTTCTTTCTTTTTCACTCGAATTACACACGCGATCCCTCTCTCTTTCTTTCCGCCTCGTTCTTTCGCGTCACATGCACACGTATGAACTCAGACTCAGTTGCTCAACTGAACTGCCTGCGACTTGTCGAGCCATATAACCGAGCAGGCATCACGCACACATTCAATCACTATACTACTACCATTACCACCACTACCGCCACCGCTACCACCGCTACTACTACCTTCTTCTCCTCGTCCTCCTCCACCACCGCCTTTACTTCATATCTTGTCGACCGCGTACAGATATATACATGCGCATGGCCGCATACACACCACTGAACCGTTCGAACCAGCCGAGACGGCGCGCGCGCACTCACTGACAGCCGCTACTTTACTCACACCCGGAACGCGCTACTTTACGGACTCTCACTGCCTTACTCACACATTACCGAGTCTTCTGTATAAAACGGTCGCTCACAGATGCTTGTCAGCTCGTACGTGTAAAAGCCTCTAACCCGGAGCACACACCTACGCACACTAGCGAGTACTACACCGCCGACGGACTGTAGCCTCAGGACCGTCGTTACACTCCCCGCGGACCCGTGGGTTCACGTTCCTACCGCCTTCTTGGTTTCAAAGAATTCCTCCATACGTGTTCCTCGATCTTTTGTTTTAAAGAACATTATGTTTTTGAATTTAATATTAATCCATAAAATTTCGTTTTACTTTCTGTCATTATTTTAATGTTTTATTATAATAATCACTATTTAAAATATATCATAGTATTGCAAATTCTTTGGTAAATAAAATATGAGATTTTTCTCCCCTGTTTTATATTTTCAATCCAAAATTTTAATAAAAATATTTAACAAATATTTAAAAAAAAATTAAATATATTAAAATATTAAGTTTAAAAATATTTAAAAATTAATTATTGTTAATTATTAATGTATTTATATATATTCATATAATAAATTAAAAAAAAATTATTATTGTTTCTTATATAGAAAATTATATATTCTATATATTCTTGATAATATATAATAATTATATATTATCTATTATTTGAATTTTTCTAATAAAAACATAAGAAATTTTATTCTGATGCTCTTGGTAATTTTGATGATCCATTCTTTAATGACCAACACATATTAATTTATCGGTATTAAGTAATGATTAATAGTTTGATAAAGTTTAAAATTTACATATTTAATATTTTATAATTATTTTATAATTTATATGTAAAAAGCAAAAAAATATTTTATAAAAAAACATAATATATTCCACAGAAAGTATGGAAATTATTATAAAAAATATAAAATTATTTATTTTAGATATTACTTATAAAATATTTTTTGTAATTTATAATTTATATTATTTACATTTTATATTATTTGTCACATATTTAATATATTTGACACACAAGTGATATTATTAAATTATTATAATAATCATAAGTTTAAATTATTTAATTTTATTTTATATTTGTTTTATAAGATAAAATAAGAATGAAAATTAAAATCAATACGCTAAAGTTAACTTAAACTGTTGTGGTTATTTATCTAATGAGAATAATTAAGAATTAAAAATATTTTAAGATAACAAATATTAAAATATCTATAAATATTTTTAATAATATTTATGAAGAAAAAAAGTATTAGAATTTCTTAAAAACATAGATATTTAAATATCTTTCTCTAATCATAACAAAATAACTTTTTAATACAGGATTTATATGTCAACGCTATCTATTTATTCTGTTCCTATTAAAATGATCACAAACGCGATAATTATATTCTCTCAGCTACATTTGCAAACCATTCGTAAACTACAAATATTTGCTCAAGATACTCAAACCGCTTGTGAGAGATGATCATCTGCTTGCCTAGACGTAGCAACTTCTAAGTCAACATCATTATTCATCGTTCAAAGCCTTCAAATAATACAACACACGAATCAGAATGAACAGTACCGAGATACATTGTTCGTATCACTTTTATTGCATCAAGGTCTATTATTATCTACTCATCTATATTTTCTTACTCATAAGGGATGTTAAAATGTTAAATAAGTCAAATCAAATTCAAATATAATAATTATATAAATAAAAAATTATATAATAATAATAAATTTATGATAACTTGTAAATGATGAAATATATAAGAAAAAAATAAATAAATGAAAAAAAATTAATTATTCATGATGATCTTTTATAATTAAAATTGTTTATTTCTAAAAAGGACTATAATTAATTAAAGTTTTTCACATTGATCAAAAAATTAGATAGTAATAATTATTATAATACAAAATAATATTATAAATAAATAAAATATACTATGATAAATAAATAGTAAATAGAATTTTAAGTAAAATTTTAAGATATATAACCACTTTGTTATATCTTTCAAGTTTTATGCCATTATAAAATGTTTAAAAAGCTATCGTCAAAAGCATATTTCGATTTTTCGAAAATCTGCAAGCAAAGCACTTGTTTTTTGTCAAGTGTCATGATCATATATTAAAATCTACACATGCCTCGTAGACATCTGGCGTAACAGCCTTTCGTGCGTAAGCGTTTGTAGAAGATTCATGCGTTACACACATTTGCATATACATATATATTTACTACGTGCAGAAGTACCATCATGCAGAGAATATATATATATACAAAGGTTCTATGTATTTATATGTGTAATTATACTATATATATATGTATATATATACTAGTATTATATAAGAAATGATAATCATTATATACTTTCGAACAGATTAGAAATTTTGATTTTATCTAATATAAAATAAATTATATTCAATATATAATCTCATTTTTATTATATTATAAATATGTTTATTTATGTATATTTATTATATTATAAATATGTCATTGTGCAACTATATTTGATTATCAATTTTTATTTAATAATTTATACTCTATATATTTTCTTGATTAATTTTTGTTTATTTTTAAAATGAATAATACATAGTTATTAAGTAATAAGTATTTCTACTAAGTCTAACAAGTATTTAAATATGACTGAAGAATTGAAATCTAAAAAAAAGATTTATTTTAGCTAATAAATATTAAATCCAACAAATTATATTCTTTTATTGTTATGTATAATTTGTAAATTTTTGCATTTTTAAATTTTATATAAATGAATTTGTAATCTTATAATAAACTTCAAAAAGATTAAAGATTAAGATTAAAGATTTTTATTTGTCCAAAAAAATGATCTCGTTTATAACTTTACATTTTCATTTTATATATCAAGAGATTATTTTTTATTTTAAATAGTAATATAATTATTTATTGATTTGATAAAAAAATTCATATTTTTATTAATTTTATTAATAAACATCATCATGAATTATCGATATCACGAAAATGTTTAACTTTTAAACAAACGATCCTTAGTTGTGTACAGCCCTGCACACAATCCATATATAAGCAAGCACGGCATTATGGCATAAGAAACGGAAAGAGAAAAAGAGAGATTCGGTGCATGCGTACATACATACTTAACTATACACTAGTATTGTGCGTGCATATCATTGGCGTAGAAACATTTCCTTTGCACATTTCCTAACAATCGAAAACACTTTCCCTAAATTATCTCAAAAATTTTTTTTTGTTCTCTTCTATTTTTTTACTGTTCTTTTAAATTTATTTATTACTTTAATAAAGACAATATATTTTTTTATGTGAAAGATTAATTATTAATAAAAGAAAATATTTAACACATATCAATTCACAAGCAAATTAGCAATTAATATATGATTATATATGCAAAACTTTTTTCTATCTTCTAATTTTAATTAGATCTAATGTTTTTTCATAAAAATCGAATAATTGGAATGATTGGAAAAATTAAATGAAATAGAACACAAGATAGACTAAAATCCTCGATAATAATATATGTAATATTATACAGTATCTATATCATATGCAAAAAAAATTTTTAAGACTAGAATCATTTGAATCGCTATCATCTTATTATTATTTCGGAAAGTATCAATTCGGAAAGTCTAAAAGTCTATTATTCGAAGATTATTTAAAATGGTTATATGAATTCCACTTGAATTCTCTGTTAGAGGAGTAGAATACGTCCGGTAAAGACTTCATCAATGAGATACTGCGGGAGTACCTTGTAGTGACTCGACTCCCCTTCTGCATTTCCCTTCATAGACTTTCGTGCGCTGTCGATGAATGGCGTAACCTCGTTATGGGACTTCACGTGGATAGCCTCTGTGTTCTCACTAACTCCACGCGAGACACGAAAAAGGTTTCTTAGAAATTTAACATGTACCAAGAAATAACAATGAACGGAATTTCTATGTGTAATATTAATGACTCTATCGGATAGAGTCATTTTCAAATAAATTGTGAATATCAAATCAATTTTGAATAGTGAATAAGAGATCTTTATAAAAAATAAAAATTGTATTATATGTATCTTTTTATAAATAATTAATTCGATATTCTATAAGAATTTGCAATTATTATTTTGTTTTTAACTTTTTTAATTTTATTTTAAGTTTATTATTAACTGATTTTGATTAATTGAAAGGTATATTAGAACTATGGTTATTAAATTAAAGTCTTATATAAAAATTTTACTTTTCTATCCACAACAATATTATATTAAATTTGATACCACAACAATATATATTAAATTTGACTATCCAAATTAATACTGATTGAATATATAGTCTACTATCTGCTTTTGAAACATTTAACCATTATTGCTCATTAATTATACCAATAACTTCTAAATGATATCAATATTTTAATCACTTCAATTAGTTTTATTATAATTTTCAAGTAAAATATTTATGAAAATAATGGTAGCTTACATAAAATTTAATTATATATATAATTATATATAATAATAATATAAGTTCTCATTTTCATCAATATAATATTTATTTATGTGTAGTATTATTATGTATATTTATGTATAGTATTATGTATTAATGTGTAAAACAATAGAAATTTTGTTGTAAAAACATGTAAAATATAAATTATTAATATATATATGCATATAATATATTAATTAATATATTATAATATATTAGTAAAATTTATACTATAATTC